CGTGTACTATTGTATGTTATATAAAGCTATTATAAACGTAATAATTTATGACTATACCAAGTGCTTGGACACTTAAATGTAAGATTTTTCAGAAAGTGGAGTTAATCGATGTGTGCACTGAACGGCTCATATAGTAATATAATTATCAGTCGTAAATATAGATAAAGTATTCCAGCGTACGGCAGTTTCATCCACGCTTGCTTTGGCTTTTAAATGTTGTGATGATGTTTGTCAAGTTGGAAAGTGCTTTTCAACATGGCTTCAGTTAAATTTAATTTACTAGTTCAAATATAATTCGATTAAAAACCTGTTCGCTTCCTTAAAAACTACCTTAAATAAGCTACAATTTTAAGCATTTTAACTTTGGAAAAACTACTACAATCGGGAAAATCCTAACGAATAAATTTAAAAATTCGTGAAAAATAGTACCAAATAGTCACTTTAGGCCGCGTGGGTAACTTTCTGGTTAGTTGTATTAAAAAACTGAGTACGCCATTCGCTTTAGCGCCTAATTCTTCATGAGGTTGGATATCGTATTATTCTTTATTGTGCAAGATGATTTTTTTTTTCATATAAGAACCTAAACCTACAGCAAAACAGTCTTATAAATCACGGATTTCGGAGTAGCTCATCCAGTTTTTGCAAGAATGGATTTTTTTTTTCATTTTGCTCTGCTGCCGGAGAAAGGATCTTCTCCTATCCTAACATTTTTAACAAAACTAAGTACTTAAATATTATAATGTTTTTAGTACTCAAAATTAATTAAAATGAGAGGCAACTAAAGACCATATGAGCATTTCCACATAATGGTCAACCAGGGCTGAGAACTAAAATGAACAATCAGGTTTATGGGAGCTATAAGCTATAGTGGTCCGATTTTGACGGTTCCAACAAATGATTAATACAATATAAAAATACACTTGCTTACCAAATTTCAGTCGGATATCTCTCAAACTGAGGGACTAAATTTCGTTCAAACAGACAGACAGATGTGCTTGGCTAAATCGACCCAGCTCGACGTTCTGATCATTTTGGCAAGCTTTTATGTGGGTATATATCTTCTTCTTCTGGTACTTACAAACATTGGACCAAATTTATAATACTAATCCATGTTCCTGAAAGGTATAAATAATGATGGAAAAAGGATACGTTCGCGACCGATACTTAAGCTTATAAATAAAAAACTAATAGAGATATTCCAACGCGCAATTAGTAAGGAGGAAGTACCTTTAATCGCTTTAGAATATTCTGTCCCATTTCGCAGTTGCTTGCATTTTTTCAATATGCAGCCAAAAACGATTTCCATTATTATTTGTACGTTCGCGACCGCATGTGTGTTGCCTACATATTGAAAATTAAAAATCGAAAGATATACCTAGCATAATGCTTTCGAAAAATAATTAATAAAAATTTATGTTTTCCTTGTTTTTTGAACTTCAAAAGCGTAAGAACTATGGATGCCAAAATATAAGGAAAATTTGGATCCCGGTATTTCGAAATATTTTTTAAATAATCCCGGGATCCCGGGATTTATCCCTGGACTCACATTGAGTCATAACCTTTATGAATATGAGTAAAAATTCAATATCTGAAAGCATTGAAACATACCATGAAATAAAACTATTTAAAATTTACGATAAACTGATTGTAAAACTCACATATAGCTAGCTTAAAGTGAAAAGTTGCTAACTTCACTTCTTACGAAAAATCATATTTTGATACAGGAGGAAAGATAATTTAAAAATTCATCGTTTCGAAAAGGATAAAGGTCCCTGTTTTATGTTTTCTCGTTTATATTCAATGAAAGGAAAATTTGCTAAGTCCAAAAAAGCTCCGAAAATTAGATAAGGCCAAAATAGTTCGAAATCTTTTAATAAAGATTGAATCCCTCTGATTCATATGAAGTTTTGCTTTGCTTTAAACAGGCAAAATGTTGTATTCAATGTTTTGCGAAATACTTGAAGAAAATGGCTATAAGAAATTTTTTCCTCTCCTGTAAAATTTTTAAATTGCAACTTTGTACTCAAAGCTAGCGATATTTATTAAATCAGAAAAATTTGAAAGTAAAACATTTTTTAAATTGTATTTAAAACCCCTTGTGATTGAAGAACGTATACATCATAAATAACAATGTAAATATCATGTACTTTTGGAAGTAATGATTAATAAAAAAAAAAAAAAACATTAAAAAAAAATATACAAAAACAATTTCTCTAAACATTTTTATTCTACTATATAAATAAATGGCGAATGGCGATTTTTTTACAATTTTTTTCGCAATTTACTCGAAATGTTGAGGGTGTACGAGTCAAACGGATCTCAGAATCGGATATGTTGGTAGGTGGGTCTGGTTAAAAACACATACCCCTTTTTTGTTCCGGTGTTGTTATTATTACACTTAAAATGTTTTCGTAATAGCAGCAAAGCATTCAAAGCAGAGTCTTCTAATCTTGACCTGAAGTTTTTACATACAAAACCTACTGCTGAAAAACATATTTCGGCCTCAACATTTTTAGGCTGAATGTCAAAAGGTAGTCCATAAACCATTTGAAGATAATGACCCCTATCTCCTCCTTTACAAAATATTTGAACTTCATATACCAGCACGTCGGACAAATTATAAATTTTTCGATTTGAGGAAGTTTTGAGTAGATTGATGTAAAAAATTATCTAACTTTTCCTTAAAACTCTCTATTTCGTTTACATTAGCGATGCTATTAGTAAATTTTTTAAATCTTCAGAAAAGGCTCAGACTGCAATTTAAAATTAAAATTTCAAGCTTTTTATTAATCGCAGTCAAAACGGCATCTTGCAAAAATCATACTTCAAAATTCATAAACAAGTTCTTACTATCAATTCGATATTTAAAATTTTTCGGGATCCTCAAAAACACCGGGATCCCAGGATCCCGAGATTGGTATCCCTAGTACGAACGTACGGTTCGCGACCTTTGAAAATGCCCATATACACATACTTTATTTTATGTGGTGCTGCTTTCCTGAAGTATGTACCGCATTAATGTTATTTGTTCCGATTCCTGTGCGTACAGCTGAACGATCATTTTCGAAACTAAAATTAATAAAAACCTATTTGAGCAACTCTGGGTAGGGACACGATATCGAACCGAAAGTATCGATATGGTACTCATTTAAAGTATCGCTTTAAAAATATCGGGTATCCATTAATATCGGAGTAAAAAGATTCGATATAGAGTCCGACCGATTAATCGGCATCGGCAAGTATCGGCACAAAATTTAGCATCGGCATCGGCACTTTTTTGCCGATTCTTTTCCGATTATTTGAAATTGCTTTTCATATGGACTTTATACTTTATTTCAGTTGAATTCCCTTTATCTTGTCTCAAAAATGTTTCATTTGAATTGTCCTGTAAAAGTTGTGTTTCTTTCTCACATTTTGTTCTGATTATTCTCTTTTGTTTTTCGTATGTATATGTTGACGTTTGATTTTTCAATAGAAATTGGCCATAAATTCGCGCTTTTTGTAATTCCTGGTAAGCAAGTGCAATTTGTTATCAGTTAAATCTTACAAACTTTTATTTTATGGGAATAATGGCTCAGGCAAACCCTATTTGGAAGTTTTTCCAAAGAAATTCGAGCACAGCAAAGTGTGAAATATGTTCAAAGGCAATATCTCTTGGTAACGTAAATAAGAGGCGACAAACAACAGCCAACATCAAAAAACATTTGCAGACAGCTCACAAAAATGAGTGGAAAATTTACCTTAAAGAGCTGGATGAATTTTTAGCAGGAGTGAAAAAGAAAAANAAACCCTATTTGGAAGTTTTTCCAAAGAAATTCGAGCACAGCAAAGTGTGAAATATGTTCAAAGGCAATATCTCTTGGTAACGTAAATAAGAGGCGACAAACAACAGCCAACATCAAAAAACATTTGCAGACAGCTCACAAAAATGAGTGGAAAATTTACCTTAAAGAGCAGGATGAATTTTTAGCAGGAGTGAAAAAGCAAAAAAAGACGGATCCAACTTCCAGCACACTCCAAGAAACGCTGCCGAGCTTACTCCAGAGGAAAAGTGGATATTGTTACCCAGACGATCATCCAGTGACCTTGCGAATCGACAAAACCATAATGGATTTAATTATTGTCGATATGCTGCCCTACAATATAGTTGAAGGTAATGCGTTTAATAGGTTAAACATTTGTGATCCAAGCGGCGATAGCAGATATCGCAAAAAGAGCGAAAAGTTTTTCCGGACTACGTTGATGCCAGCAACCTACGATAAGATAAAGCACAAAGTTACTTATCTCATAGCAAATGCGGAATGGATCAGTTTCACAACTGATATCTGGAGCAACTCCACCAAATCATGCTCCTTGCTCAGTTTTACAGCACATTTCATAGAAGGGCCTCGTAGGCTAAAAGTTATTTTGGCAGCTAGCGTTCTGGAAACTGATCATACCGCTCAAAATATTTTTGCTGATTTAAACAAAGTTATAGAAGAATACAACATTCGGTCAAAAATTCATTTGGCGGTAACTGACAATGCTGCAAATATGAGAGCAGCAATGAAGTTGGGTAATATTAAATGGTTTGGGTGTACGGCACATAATTTGCAACTTGTGATTCTGGACGCAATTTATAACCGGAAAGATATTCAAGATATATCACACAAATGCCGAAAAATTGTGGGACATTTTAAGAGAAGTGAGCAGGCATGTCGCTACTTAAAAAAATGCCAAGAAACGCTTGGTTTGCCTAATCATTCACTAATACAAGATGTTGTTTGCAGATGGAATAGTACATATTTGATGTTAAGTAGATTATACGAGCAGAAGGCTGCCATTAATTTATATATAGCAGAACGTGGTTCTATAGAAATATTGTCTGTTAGTGAATGGGCGGATATATCTAATGTAATATCAGTATTAAAGCCGTTTTACCAAGCAACTCTTNACCGGAAAAATATTCAAGATATATCACACAAATGCCGAAAAATTGTGGGACATTTTAAGAGAAGTGAGCAGGCATGTCGCTACTTAAAAAAATGCCAAGAAACTCTTAGTTTGCCTAATCATTCACTAATACAAGATGTTGTTTGCAGATGGAATAGTACATATTTGATGTTAAGTAGATTATACGAGCAGAAGGCTGCCATTAATTTATATATAGCAGAACGTGGTTCTATAGAAATATTGTCTGTTAGTGAATGGGCGGATATATCTAATGTAATATCAGTATTAAAGCCGTTTTACCGAGCAACTCTTGATCTGTCTTATGAGTCTACGTGTGCATCTGTCATAATACCTTTAATTTCCATGATTCAAATTAAGCTCGAATCTAATGATAACGACGGTGCTGAAATTGCGATGCTAAAGGTAAATTTAAAAACGTCTTTATCGCGGCGATTCGAATTTATTAAGACAAATACAGAGTTGCTTATTTCCACACTACTTGACCCGCGTTTTAAACAAAAATATTTCTCAACCGCAGAAACTCGTAGATGTGAAACTCTATTGAAAGAACAAATAAATACAAATGATGATTCGTTGGAAGTTTTACCAGCTGTTTCTCCCATTCGCTCCTCTGAAACATTTCACACTAACAATCTTTGGGAATCTCACGATTCTGATATATTATCTCAAGGTATTCAAGAGAAACAAGGTATATCACAATTANTCTAATGATAACGACGGTGCTGAAATTGCGATGCTAAAGGTAAATTTAAAAACGTCTTTATCGCGGCGATTCGAATTTATTAAGACAAATACAGAGTTGCTTATTTCCACACTACTTGACCCGCGTTTTAAACAAAAATATTTCTCAACCGCAGAAACTCGTAGATGTGAAACTCTATTGAAAGAACAAATAAATACAAATGATGATTCGTTGGAAGTTTTACCAGCTGTTTCTCCCACTCGCTCCTCTGAAACAATTCACACTAACAATCTTTGGGAATCTCACGATTCTGATATATTATCTCAAGGTATTGAAGTGAAAGAAGGTATATCACAATTAAAAAAACAGCTTGATTCCTATCTTAATGAGCAACGTATTCCTCGGGATAGTAATATTTTTGAATATTGGCATCAGAGTCCATATTTTCTCTTGAAAAAATAGCAACCAAATATCTGTCAGCTCCGGCGTCAAGCGTTGCGAGTGAACAGCTTTTCAGTAAGGGTCTCCGAAATATCCCAAAAAAAATCAAATATACAAACAGAAATATACAAAAGAGTTTTCAGATTGAAAAATTTGGATTTTCATGGATTCTATGCCATTTCTACGAAAAGTATTTTTTTCCCCATACAAAATACATGGGAAACTTTGAGCGCTTTGAGCAACCTCTAAATATATTTTGATTTTAAAATAAAAAAACACGGGTATACTTTTTTTCGGTATAGAACAATCCTAGGGGATGAGAGCATTAAATTTCCGATTTTACTTTTCTCCCATACATTTTTGGACCACCCTAATGTACATGCCTAGCATTTAGGTTCTTATGCATTGAGTGCAAAAGCGTGTATTTGAGTACAAACCGAAATGAAATTTTATGTTCCTATTTCTTGCTAAGCACTATAAAAAAGGGTTTTATGTAATGTACATAAATGTGATATATGTACATAATAATCTCACCCACATGTGTATGTAATATTGCATAACAAGCCAATTAATTCAATTATTTGTTTCTTTTGTTTTGTTAACTACGTTAAATAAACTGTTTTTATGAATTAATACATTTGTTTGTAATTTTTTACGGAATCGGCATCGGCCGATTCTTTCCCCATAAGCCGATTAATCGGCATCGGCATCGGTACCTGAAAAAAAACTGGAATCGGTCGGATTCTAATTCGATATTCTAAATGTCGATACCAAAATCCAAAAAAAGTATCTGAATATAGGTCTCGTATGTAGGTCGCTGTGATGTAGTGGTTAGAAGTGTGTAAACTCCCGAATATATTTCTGCCATGAAAAACAGCTTCTCATAAAAATACAATCGTCGTTCAGAGTCGACGTACGACTATAGGAACCCCCTTTGTGGCACAACTTCAAGGCGCACGCGACAAATCGGAAGAGAAGCAAGGCCAAACACTAACATATTGAGAAAGCGCCTATATATTATTAGGTGTGTTCAGAAATGCATTAAGACAAAGCACCAGACTCTGTTATTTCTAAACTAAGTTCCAATTCGTGGATTCAAATCCCGCCACATGCAATCCTAAATATAGTACAAATTTCTTTACTGGGTCCCGGGGCATTGTGGTGGAATGAGGAAGCGGACGAATGTGCTAGGAAGGGATCTGAGATGGGGCTCGGGGAAGCGATCCAAACCGTGAAACCTCCCCTGCGATTTCTGTCTTCAGAAGTCGAGAGACTGACTAGGGCAGCTACCAACAGTAGGTGGGAAAATCTGCACACCTACAGGGTATCGCGATCGCTCTGGCCACGGCTCGATGGACGAAGAACAAGGAGTCTATTAAGGCTTTCAAAGTCAAACGTTAGGTTTCTCACAGGAATACTAATGGGACGCTGGACCATTGACCACATGGCTGCCGGGTTCGGAGTCCCGCATAACGATTTCTGTAAAAGCTGCAGGGATGAGGAGAAGTTAGAATCCGTCCAGCACTTCCTTTCCGAGTTTCCAGTACTTCGAGGGAAACGACTCAAGCTTCTTGGTGACCATTTCTTCGAGAACCTGGATATCTTGAGAAAAGCTCCTCTGGAAGGACTGCGGGGATTCGTCAAAAAATCCAAATGGTTCGAAGACATGTAGGGATGGGCTTGGCGTAACCCCCCATGGGCATTACAATGGGCCTTCGCCGCTTTCAAGTGAACTCTTTGCAGAGCTTCCCTTTTTACCTAACCTAACCTAGTACAAATGTATACTCTTCAAAGCACAATTTATATCGGGAAGTAATGTTAATCACATTAATCTTCTAATGTGAGTTTATGACTTTCGGTACGATACTAGGGTTCTGGTACTCGAAATAAAAAACATCGGTATCGAAGGCCAAAAGTATCGATATGCCATCGTATCGTATCGAAATTCGTGTCCCTATTTATGGGGCAAGACAGGCTACATAACCTGGGTATTCTGTCTATTGAAAATTTTATGGCTCTATCCCTGCAAAAATCGCGACTACTCCGTGCATGCATGTGAAGAGTACTCCCTAAGGGCCAAGGAGTACTCCAAAAGGAGTATACTCCATCTCTGCATTACATCAGAGTACCACAAAACTACTCCAACATATTAACAATGGCATTGTTGTTATATTTTTTCGTTTGTACACGCTTTTGTTCTTCACTTCACAAATGCTTTTTCGCAATTAATAAAAACCAAAAACAAAAATAAAAAACTAATTGTTGCCTCTGAAGTCATTCGAACCCAAACATGCAGGAAGCAAACAAATAACAGCCAGCATCTCTACACGTTCAGCTACAGCCAGACATGGAAATGTGCTTTCAAATGCTCAACTTCAATCACATTTCGTTAAAACACGAGCAGCGATCGGGTAACAATAAGCTGGTGCCTGCAAAAATCGTTGGACCATGTAATCCATTTGTGGTATATTGCAGTACTTACAAAAGTGTTCCTCTGTCATGTTGTATCGGATTAACTCGTGTCTTACGCCAGCTTATTGTTTGTTACCCGATCACTGCTCGTGTGTGTGATTGAAGTTGAGCATTTGAAAGCACATTTGCATGTCTGGCTGTAGCTGAACGTGTAGAGATGCTGGCTGTTATTTGTTTGCTCCCAGCATGTTTGGATTCGAATGCCGTCAGAGGCAACATGTAATTTTTTATTTTTGTTTTTGGTTTTTATTAATTGCGAAAAAGCATCTGTGAAGTGAAGAACAAAAGCGTGTACAAACGAAAAAATATAACAACAATGCCATTGTTAATATGTTGGAGTAGTTTTGTGCTACTCTGATGTAATGCAGAGATGGAGTATATGGTCCTGCCGTAGGACATCGCAATGTTAATTGGACCATATTTTTTATATGAATTGGTACTTAGGGAGTACTCTTCACATGTATGCATGGAGTAGCCGCGATTTTTGCAGGGTGCAGAGACACGAGTTGGTCCACTACAGCATGACAGAGGAACACTTTTGTAAGTACTACAATACACCGCAAATAGATTACATGGTCAAACGATTTTTGCAGGGATCTTCAAACTTTGGTGATGTTATAGATTCTTTTGCGGAACAGAAATCTCGGAGAAAAGAAATGTTATTAATAAATATCTTATCAAAATTAAATTGTTATTTCATTATAAATTTGTATGTACATACATATAAACCCATGTTCTTGAAAATAAATATTATTAGATATTTAATTAAAATGCACATTATTGTTAATAGTGTTGGGTAACTACTTAAGTGGTTTATTAAAATTAAATTACAACATGACGATTTTTACTAGGAGGCAGGGAAGCCAACTCGTAGGAATTCCTCGATTTGCGGGGAATCGGGGAATGGATGGGGATAAACTGTTTTTTGTGAGGAATTAGGTGTAAATAATTTTTATTTTTTGCTTCACCAATTTCATAATGATTTAAAAAAAATTTTAGTTGAAATGTCTCACCCGTCACCTTGGAATGAGCCGTATGCAGTTTTGTAGCTCGTTCAATTCTTGTATAATAAAGTTTCAAATGGCTAAAAATTACCGATGAGTTTTTTAAATCTGCTTTGTAGCATTTGCTTTCATATAACGAATAAACACAAGACCTTCTCCAAAAAAAAATTTTAATACGACAGTTTTCAGGTACTTGACCCTGGCACTTTTTATACTAGAATTTAGTGGGCTACAAAAATGCATCCTCAAAATTTTTCTAGAAAATCGAATTAAAAAGCTCGAAATTTTAACGAAAGTTTGTTGCATTTTTTAACGTTTGAAACTTGGATTTAAACGGGTTTTGTTAAAGAATTAACTATATTTTTATAAAAATAACTCAAATTAAATAACAAAAAAAAAATAATATGTAATTTTATTTAAATATTATATGAGCATTGTTAACAAACTTAATAAAAGTTTGGTTTGGTTTATGAATACATAGATACATTATATCTACATATTTAAAAATAATGCATAACTTTTTTTTTTAAATAAGGAGATATACTATATGGGTGTATCGGAGATATAATTTCATTGTCGAAATCGGGGAGTTCTCAAAAATGAGTTGGCATTCCTGCTGGGAGGGCCCCATCCAAAAAATTTGCCACGGGCCTCGGATGATATAGTTACGCCACTGATACGGTTTTTTTATTTAAAAAATTAAGAAAAAGGCAGTAGAATCTTGCTGCTTGTGTTAAAGCATACACAATGCAGTTGCGATGTTTTCCATACCGAAGGATGCAGACCTAAGCCGTAGATGGAGGTATGCAACACCGCTTTTTCTGCTGCAAGCAGAGTATGTGCTTACAATTTCAGAGACGATGACACAAAATGGTTGGACATAGAGATGATATTCCTGATAAATCGTCCACTGAGCAAAAAGAATTGGCATTGACTTAATCGATTTTAACTACCCTGATCCATCAGCAACCGATATCGACGGTTTATTTTTCAAGATATATTTTGCATAAACTAAATTTAAAAAAATATGAAGTTAGTAACGGCAAAATTGGACGTGGATAGGCCTAACTGGAGGACCTGGATGCAAAACCCAAATAGCTTTTTTGAAAAAATTGAGAAATTGGATAAAACTTACATGTTTGCTGGTGTACAAAATGTTTGTGATTGGTTGGTGTCGTAAGAGTAGGGATGTAGATTTCATTCATTTTAGAATAAAACACTTTAATAGAATATTGAAACAAAATGAACTAAAACAAAGACTAATGCGAAATAAAAAAATTCTAAAAACTGTTTCTGAGTAAGCAAAGCTCTTCATTTTAGCTGATCTTTATTTTTTCTTGTTAACATGGTTTGGGATATTTTTACCTTGTTATCTCACTAAGGGTTAATACCAGAAATGAGAGAAAAAATAGTAACAAAATCAAATTTTGCTTTCAAATACATATGAAGGCGTCAGTTTACCTGGTACACTTTATAATATCTCACTATGGGACCATGACAAATGTTGAAAAAGCAACAACAACAACGTTTTTGTCAAAATTGTGTATAAAAAGTTCCGCAGGG